CCATCTACTTCCCCTCTCTTCATTTTCTTTCATCATCTGTGTTTTCCTCCTCACGTCATGTTTGTGCATCCTTTTCATTTCCAGCTGTCCTCCCTACCATCATCTATGCATTTCTATCCATTTGCTCTACAGTTCTGTCTCAAAGAAACAGAATTAAATCTGCTTGGCAGCTGCCAGGATTTTGTGAACGCGTATATGTGTGCCGACGCTAAACCACTGCCCAAGGGGATATGTGAATTTGACAACGTCATCAAGTTATCACACACACCTGCATATCGAGCAAGGCCAGGCTTGCAGCTAAGTAGCCACACAACAGCAAACATCTTATTTGTACGAAACGCTGAAAGACTTTCACCGTCCTGCTGGTCCAGAGAGAAAAGTTACTATCACACTGCACCACAATACCAGCAACTTTCATTTGGTTTGGATTTTTGCCTCCAAAAGTTACATTTCATTCAAAGTTTTCATTCTCTTCTCCCAAGCTGATTTCAGCGTTTTATGGGATGCAAATTTACACTGATTTATTAGAGTATTTAAATACAAGCATCTTTACAACCCTCAAGGGAAAGAGGAAAATACTTAGTGTAATTTAAGCCCATAAAAGTACACAATTTCCAGTAAAGGATCACCTACACTGTACTCTTTCCCTCAAAGACAATACTTATAACAGCTTGACTGACAACAATTGATATGTGATTTAAATTAATATCATAAAGAGTTGTTTCACGCTTAAGGGTGTGTGTTGGGTTTAATTTTACACCCCTGGTTGAATCTCTGAAATGCTTTCATGAGCTCTGAGCCAACACATTTCTAGCCTATAAAACATGACTGCAGATATGTACCCAGGATAATTTACAGCTAGTTATTACTTGTGTGGAATTTAGCAGTTCTGCAGTTTCATCTTTCTTGCTAAATGCAGCAAAATGTCCTCAGCATGTTATTAAAAAAACAAAACCATCCAGTGTTTGAGGGATATTTGTGAGGAAGTTTTTATGCCATGTAACTTGAATGTGTCCTGCAATAACTGTAACTTAATAGTTACATTAAAAAGCCAATTTAGAAAAACAGTAAAAGAAGTTAAAGAAGTGAGTGCAAAACAGTTCTGCTTCACTTTCACCTCCAAGCACACAAAGTCTTAACTCCTAGCAGTTCAAACATGCACACTAGTTTAGTGCAGCGATTAGAAGGGATTTAAATGGTTAAGACTCTCCGGAGCTTTGCCGTATTTCTCTCGCTTTTTTGCAACAAATAATCCTAAAGGTAAAAGTGCCCATACACCAGTCTTACCTTGAGAGAGTTGCAGAGCGACACAGACGGGCTGCTGCCTGCAGCCTGCACATCTGCTGGGGATGTAATGCAAAGCTGATAGGAGACCCCCACTGCCAGAGTACTGATTACAGCACCCTGGTTTTAGGACTGTGTAGTCTTAGCGGGCAGATGGTATCATCCATTTCAGTTACTACAGTCAGAGAGAAGCCCCGACACCGGAGTACCTGTCAGGACCGCAGCAGACAACGAAAAATTGAACTACAGTACGCGTCTTCGTTTTATTTCTCTAGTGCCAATTAAAAGGCATGTAAAAGTGGCGCTTCGTTGGCTACCTTACAGTTACCTTCTGATGCTGTGGCAGGACCAGGCGGGGCAAATGCAAATCAAGGTGGTGCTAATTGGCTGGAAAAGCCCTCCGGCAGCACTGTCTTTGGAGGGTGGAGGAGCAGGACTTAAAGGGTGTCCTGCTCTGTCAGAAAAGGAACCCGTGTGCGTGTTATCCGCTGTGAAGGCTAGAGGCGTTTCTGTTTCTCTGCACCGTCATTTCTTTTAAATTATGATCGAAATAAACCCCCGATTAAAATATCATCAAACGTTTAGGTTACACGAGACTTTTCGTGGTTTTGAGTGTAAGTTAAATCTAATTATGGCCATTGGGTTGCAGACTTGATTACTGAGTCACTTGCAGGTGGTACAGTTAGCACCATTTGCGATGTATTTATTTTCAAGAGCAAAGGTAAGCAAAATTAAAAGTAAAATATTTAAACGGATACAAAACTTTCGAACGCAGTAGCTAGTTAGCATTCCGGCTTAGACATCCTGATAATTTACATGCTAATCAATCGGGCGCCTTTTCAAATTAAGTTTAAACCAATGACTGTAGAAAACTGTTTTCTATAGTCATTGGTTTAAACCTGGACAAAAGAGGTGAAACAAAATCAACCCACAAATAGTCATTAGCCAACTCTAAAGTTGTATATACCTTGTTCACATTGTAGACTTTATTTTTTTTTAGAGAAATAGAATTAATAACTTAATTAAATGTACGTTTCCACCTGGTCTCCCTAACTTTCATGTTTCGTCTGCTACTTTCTGGCGAAATCGTCTTCCTTTCAAAATAAGACTTCCGTCTTCAAAATAAAGACTGAACTAAGACCTAAAACCACTTAACTTTATACGTGAGTTTTTGTTCTGCGTTGTTGTTTGTTTGTTGTATTTGTCACCTCACGTTACACTTTTTGATTGAAACTAAATCTGACGGTTTTTAAGTTACAAAATATAGCAAATCAATTCATCAAGAAACGTAAGCGAATCGGCAACAATCCCTCAAGAGGGGCTGATCCCAAAACGCATACGGCTCTTTGCATCACAATATCTAAGTACTGGTATTACTGGGCAACAACTGGGAATAATCGTGTAGTATTTAAGAAGGGACGATGCCATCTTGTGGAGGAAAATGGAAAGCCTCAAATTGAAATGGTTCTTTCCAAAGTAGCACTACCTTTACTCCACTAACGTTGAGCTTTGAAAGTCATATATTTAGATGGCTATAGAAACATTATTGGTATACAGTGTTAATCTGCACTGTATGTTATGTATTTCATCTGGAAAACTGCTTTTCCAAATATGTGGAAATTATTTTGTTCTGAGTCTTGAATAAATAGTTAATAGTGTGCCACGAGTAGTTCTCAAGAGTAGGCAGAGAGGAAATAGAAAAATGTATGTATTACCAGGTAAAATGGTGCCAAAAGACTTCTGAAATATTTTCAGCTGTCACTTTAGAGATACAGTCACTATTTCACAGAGGTAATCAATCACTGATTCACTATATCTGGTGCCCCTTTGTAGGTTATCTACAGATACAGAGGTTAGAGGGCAGATATGATGGCAGCCCCCCTTTGGATATCTGCTGTCATGTTCATATCTGTTAAATGTTTTCTTTTATTTAATTTTCATCCTTTGGAAGTTGATTATTGATTCTATAAAATATAACATCACCTGTTTTCTTTCCATTCACCTAAAACGGCAACATAAAACTGATCTGATCTGACAAGTTACAAAATAAATACATAATAAAATAATTCTGTCACCAATGTAAAAATAAATCCTTGATAATTAGAAAGTGTGTCATTTGTAATGTTCTTTCAACCAGTGGTCTGAGTTACAACTTCACATAAATCAGCCCCAGTGTTGCTTCACATTTGACTGATGGGTGAATTGGTGCTGATGTGACATTCACAGTATAATTAGACTCTCTTTAGACAGCGACATTCCAGCTTTGGTGAAGGTGCTGTATTTGATACGTTAAAATAGTAGGGATCACTTGTGAAGACTAATCTGCAGTGTTAAATTTAAATTTTTAATTTGTTATTTTACTTTAATAGTTTAGTTGTTACTTTTATTGAAGTAAGATGTCTCTCTCAGCAGGGCAGCCTCCAGATTTTTTTTAATGGGGTGGCCATATGGGGGGTCACTAAAAATATTGGGTTGGCACACCAAAAACAAAAGAGTGCAGGGGTGCAGCAGAGGGGAGGGGGTGACGCCGGGAAATTGTGAGGAACATGCAAAGTGACACAATCCGAATGACAAAAATTGTATAATCAGGAATAAATAACAAGTTAATGTTTCAACTCATTGCAGGGTGCCTTCCTCTCTCTTGTGCTCACGTTTATTAAAATTATTACCAACATAAGACAATCTTACCGGGGCGACCCTCAAATTTTGAGGGGTGGCCAGTGGCCCCCCCTGGCCCTCCTTAGTGGTGCCCTGTCTCTCAGGACTCATACTCTAAGCTGGATGGAGGAGGCAAACTGCTCTGCGATACTATGATATATCATACTATCTGCAAAATGGTAATGGGTTACAAGAAGTCACGAAAGTATATGAAAAATGTCAACAAATATTTAAGACAAAAGACAAAACAGAACCAGCCCTTTACTTTATGACAGCTCGATAACCAATAAAAAAGTTGAACGCAATACAAGCAGGCTCGTAAGCCAATCAAAACCAGAAAAGGGCGGGCGCTGGATTGTTGTGGTTGACGTTTTACTTCCTCTTTCTTTGCGGTGTGAAATCAATAAACTGCAGCAGCGAAGCTCAAGTAGGAAGAGAGGAGAATCCGCGAGAAAAGCGACTTCACGAAGGAAAACGTCTGTCGCATGTTTTATGTAGAAAGTCAAAAAAGTAAGAAGAACGAAAATAGTCGGTCGAAGAGCTCATGTGATGTGAAGTGAGACAATCGGGGGCTGCTGCTGCTCACAAGACTGCTGCATGTGATATCGATTACAGAAATAACACACAGGGATGACCACAGCCCTGCTTCGGGCCCACATGGTCGGCTAGAAATTCAGGCTTGAATGCAGAGGTTTGTAGTGCGTTTTTTCTTTTTACCTTTATTACAGCCGTGTTGTTCCCGCAGTTCTCTGAGATTTAATTGCGATAGTTTCGCCTTTTCCCCCCTGACTGATGTTAAAGTTTGAGAGAAAGTCTGCAGAAAGAGTTTTTAGCCTAATTCACTGGTCAAAAGTAAGTTGGATTGTGACGCAGACTTTCAGATCAGTAAAAAAACAACTTTTCCTAGTAAACGCCAACAAATATCTACCAAAGAAATGGAGGAAGTACACTTTCGTGTGAAATTCACGTGTGTGTGATATGATGTTTATGTGTAAAAAGTAAAAAAAAAACTGCACGAGAATTATATGTGCAAGTATGCAAATTAGCCCAATGTGTCAAATAAAGGAAAACTTTCCAGATGGCATCAGTCCTCATCGATAAACAATCCAGCGCCTGAGACTAAGTGCATCCCTTTTCTTGTAGTAGTCCTGTTTACCCTGATGGATGAAGCCTCTGAGAAACACAGATAAAGTAAGAATGAAGCACCTTAACTAATGTTTTGGGTTTTTTTTTTCTTGTTTTAAATTTCCACCTTGTACAGAGTCCTCTTGCCAGAAGAAGACCAAACATGGTGCACGTCTACAACTGCCATCCTTTCTCCGCTCAGCAGATTGTGCAGGTAAAGTGAAACCTGACTGACGCTGATCCCGTGTCAGCCGTGTTTTATTACCTACGCTCTCGTCTTCACTGCTTTCCCACTCTGTGGCTCAGGTGGAGAAGGAACCCGGACTGGTCTGCTGTGGAGGTGGAGCTATTTTTGTGGTGGCGACTGGAGGATGCAAGGTTGCTTTAATGTGCTTATGTTTACAGTTTGTGACCTTTTTAAAAATGTATTTATTTTAGTAATGACTTTGGTGGTAGCGAGGCAAAATAAGTTAAAATAGTCAGCTTTGTGTTAAGCCTCGCCCACCAGATGTGCAAAGCTATTTGAGGGCATATCAGTCCCGTTAACTCCACTGGGACGAGTTAATTTCGCTCCAGACCACTTGAATTACATCATGCTCAAAGGTTATTATTGATGTTTTGTCTTCCTCATCTTACTTAAGCATTTAGTAACTAACCCTTTGTAGTAGCCTGACACTGTTGTGCTGAACTGAATCCAGGTGGAGGCGTACAATGTGGAGGTGGAGGGCTGCCCCCTCATCTGCCGCTTTTCCACCATGGGCGCTGTGAGGAGCATCCAGCATAGCAAGATAGGTAAAGACATTTCCTGTCTCCCTCTACCCTCTGTACTGACATTCACTTTTTTGCTGTCTGTCTCCCATATGTGAGCAAAATGGCTTCAAGTGATGACAGTGTAAACTGGAAAGGCATCAAAAATAAAGACTCTAGACACTGAAAAATCTTGGGTTTTATCACTGCCTCCTCTGTGCTCACTCACTTCTAGGAGACTACCTGGTGACCATTGAGGAAAAGAACAATGCCACCTACCTGAGAGCCTACACCAACTGGCGTTACCAGGTACACAAGAACCATCTCGAGTCCAAATCACCCAAGAGTAAAAATAGGACAGAAACCTCCTTGTGGTTAGGGGAAAAAGTGGTTGTGAGGTGATTTTTCATTCGGCGGCAGATTGCAAGTAGTTGCAGTGACCAACTGGTTGCCCAGAGGTTGAATGCACACCACCTTTAACTAGGATTACCTCGCTCTGGTGGTATGCAACCTGTCTCCAAGCAGTTGCAGTCCACCTAGAAATGACTGCGGTCAGTCTCACAAAGCGTAGCAATGGTTTGTAAATAACTAGCATCTAGATTACGAATGCAGATAGATGCTAACACATAGTCAGTCAGTCAGTCTATCAGTCTGCTCTAATGGATGCAGATCATCTCCAATGCGTTTCTTTGGAATGGCAAACTTGACTCGGCTCATTGTGAATTAGTTTAATTATGGTTCTATGCATAAATCTTATGTTGCTTTAATGTGATTAAACTAAGGAATATGATAAGCTTTTGTAAGAAAAAACTATCTTTCAGATTTAAACTGTGAATTTTTTTGTAACTCGTAGTCAGATGTTGTTGTCAGAT